CTTGTCTGATTCAAATTAGCACTCAGCATATACCACCTTCAAGACTGCTCACCAACAAAGATTAATTTGTCATGAACCTACTTAGCAATTGCTACAAGCCAGAAATCCAAACACTTTACCACCTTACGGCATACTCTTTTTATAGATGGGGAAACTGAGTCAAAAAGGAAGAGTTAAGTTATCTGTCTAAGGTCACACAACTGGAAGCACTTGTGCTGGAAGTGGAATCCATGAAATTGGTTCCAAAGTCCTTTTGGGGAGGAGAGGTGGTCAGCTTCAGAGTTTTGTTATATAGCCAAGCTGGCCTCCAACTCACAGTCCCTCTGACACATCCCTCTCAGTGCTAGGATTACAGGTGAACACATACCATCATGCCTGGTTCAGAGTCTATTCTTTCAATCATTCTTTATATTATGTAGCTACATGCCAATACCAAGAGTCTACTTTCAAAAAATAACTTTTGGTTTTTATCTTAAGATATACTACAAAGAAGATAAGAGTCTCCAGAATTTCACACATCTAAGAGTATCAGACATAGAATTAATCAGAGTTGAGAAATCTCTGTACTTGTGGTAACTGTATAGGACACAGGAGAGGAGCCAATGGAAATATGAACAACCCCCAGGTAGGCAGGGAAGGAAAGAGGAATAAAACTCCCTCTTGAAGCCATGCACAGCTTAAATGAAGGGGGGAAAGGCCAAGGGATAAAATCCTTAGAATCATCTTATGGATTTATGATTATACCTTGCTTTAGTAATAGATATGCCAATGTCACCATGAATTACAAAGTAATCTAGGGTGCTAAGGGAAATTCTAGGAACCATGAAGGTCACGTTCATGGCTCATCAATGTGAAAGTGTTGGAGATGTCACTCACCTCTGCTCCCTTTTCCAGCAGTAACTCCACACAGTCAGCATCGGACACCATGCAGGCACAGTGCAGGGGCTTCAGTGTGCCGTGGGTGCAGTTCACGTCTGCTCCCTATGGGAAGAATTCAGAAGCCGCAGAAGGGACTTGATGGAGAAGGGTCTCCTGAGCCTGAATGTACTTTAACTACAATTACCTATTATTTCTAGTAATTAATTCCAGTACTCAAACCAAGGGAATACTGAAAAGGAAAAAAAGGAAGTCATTTCCCCAGATAAAGCTATTAAGTTTCTCCACAACACAGCCTGCCAAAATGGCTATCCAGATACCTCTGAAGATATAGCCTTATGTGTAAAAACTGTGGGAAAGCTGGCCCAGTTATGAAAATAGGTCTCAGGCTGAAGTCAGAACTATCAGGCTCTTTTTGCAATTGAACAAATGACCCTCACTAACTATAAGGTGGTCTTAATGTTGTCATGTTTGCAATCTCTTCAAGGTGGCTCAGCATCACTCAAAGTATATGGTTCACACCAAAGCCCGAGTGACTCTACAGCAGAGCTAGATGAGTTACTTCTGCTGAGGCTTCTCACCCCACTGGTGCTGAGACAAGCTGTGGTATGCCTTCCTTCCACAGGTGTGCAACTCTGACCCAGAGAGATCCAAAAGTTGTTTTAAACCCGGTAGTGCAGAGTAACATGGTTACATTTTCCAAAACATTACTCTGTAACTTCTCTTTGGGTGAAGGGTACCAAAACTTTCTAAGGTATTAATCATGTGGCAGAAATACTGACGGCAGTGTTTTGAGATCAGAGAAAGTGTTTCCTTTCTTTTAAAAAAGCAGGACATGTATGTGTGTGTGTCCTTGTATGAGTTCTGCACATGAGTGCATGTGTCCACGGAGGTCAGACGAGGGTATCAGTTACAGGTAGTTGTGAGATGCCTGAGAAGGGTGCACACTCTCCATCACCGAGTCACCTCTCCAGCCCTTATTTTCTTAATCTGTAATTACTACACATTTTAGGGGACAGTGTCTGCTATAGAACTAAAACTGGTAGCTGCTGTAACCAAGCAGAAAACTGAAATCTCTCCCTGCAATCACCATCATCCAGGTTTGAAGGAAACCTCCCAGGACTTAAAACCTGACCTCTACGTTGCTCGCCTAGTAAGACCCTCCCTACAGCATGGACAGAAGACTCTGAGCTGCATGGGTTTCACACAGGTGCATGCACCACATCCCAACAGGGTTAGAAAAACAAAGCGGGGGGGAAAAAAGTCAAGTGGGGCGAAGTAAAACATATCTTAAGGAGAAAAACATCAGGGACATAAAGGCAGATGAAGCCAAGAGTTAGGGAAAGCATATTTTAATGATCATGCAACACTGATGAAGAGAGTATGTGTTCAAGGTTGCAACACCAAAACCTTTGGGGATTTAGCAGGGACTCTGACACTTCCCCTCCCAAAGGTCTGCTCTATCGAGGATGGCCCACTCACCCCTCTGATGAGGTCCTCTACGTTGTCATGTGGGAAGGAGCGGATGGCAGCGATTGTTCGGATCAGGCGTTCTGAGAGGGAATATTTGCTCTGAATGCTCTGCATAATGTACCACATACTGGAACTCATCAAGGCTCAGAGTATGTTCACATGCTCCAAACTGCCTGAAACAGAGACATTTTAGGCATATACACATTGCTGAGTATGCCTGTCCTCTGGGTTAAGCAGATTCTAAGGGCTTCCCACTATAAAAACAGATGTCAAGGAGCTCAGTGACTAATCAGTGCCACTTCCTGTAATAGTACGGCAGATTACAATAGTTGCTAGGATGTTAGGTAAACCTGGATACTCTCTGATGACTAGGACGAGATCTCCCTAAGAGGCCCAGTACTAAGAGCCCCATGGAGCGCCACGTGATCTACATGGCTAGCAGTGTGTAAGATGGGCTCTTGAAGGCTGAAGGAAACACTTTTCAGCCTCTGAATTCTTGTTGTTATCAGTATCACTTTCAGGTGCCTTACATATTTGCCTTGCAATATAGCTATGCATACATCACTGTTTTTCCATCTGAATTAAAATCAGCTGGACAGATAGGGCTTTGTCTTCTGCTCAGTAAAGCCAACTGCCTAATCCCATAAGATGGAGACATTTATACATATTGGTTGCTTGATGCCCAACACTTGGGAGGCAGAGGCATACAGAGCTCTGTGAGTCTGAGGCCAGCCTGATCTACAGAGGGAATTCCAGGACAGCCAAGGCTACACAGAGAAATTCTGTCTCAAAAAACAAAAAACCAAAGAAAATGCAAAACTGAAGAAAAATATAATAATATTGTAACAATAATGTAATAGATAAAGTATAATATTAAGCAGCTCCAACTCTTTGGTGTTTTGCTTAGGAATCTGTGTTTTTTTAACTATCAACCCCTCAAGAGTTAACAGGAAGCTTTTAAATTAGTGCCTGGAAGGTCCTCAATATACATTTGCTTTTTGTTTGTTTTGTTTATCCAGACAGGGTTTCTCTGTAGAGCTTTGGAGTTGGTCCTGGAACTCGCTCTGTAGACCAGGCTGGTCTTGAACTCACAGAGATCTGCCTCCCTCTGTCTTCCAAGTGCTGGGATTAAAGGCGTACATTCTCAATACACATTTGTTAAATCAATATTTGACTTGACTTCACACCATCCAACACTCAGGATCCATTCACCAAGCCTCTAGGTTAGGGAAGTTGCTGTCAAGGTGTGACCCAGAAGCAAAAGCTTGTGCTTTGGAACCTAATAATTTTCATAATTACACATGCAATTACTAATAGCACAATTATGAAACAATGTTTTCGATAATTCTGCAATATAGATTTGCTTTTGTGGTAGGGATATCCTTTTATACAATTATATACTATAGTATAAATTCTACTAGTTTCTTTCTGCTAATCAGTAACCATTTATATCTGTTTCAGGGTGTACAAGGCTGTGGGCACGTCTTGGCAGTAGAGTGGCTGCCCCTTAGAATTTGGCAAATAATTTTCTCAACTCCTAGCACTCAACACACACTCACATCCTCCCCTTCAAAAACATGGGGGGGGGCGCAAAAGCAGGTTTGAGTGTGGGGTCCCAACAATGGTGTGGACGGAGGGGCCAAACCTAGGCTATCTAAAGGAGTTGCCTTGGACTGAAGTAGCTCTGTTCAATTTCTGGTACACGGTTAAGCAGATGACAACAAACCCTGCACTCATTTTATGGGTTTTCCTGGATTCCAGGGTAAGAACTCTAATGCAGAGCATGGCGGGTGTTCATCTCCTGCTACAGTGAAGCTTCCAGTGAAACATTGTGACTTCAAATGAGGACAGCATTTGCACTGAGGACGGGTCAAAATAATCTAACCTGCAGCTTGACCCCTGGTGGGTCCTTTCCTTAGCTGGGGCTCACCCGCCCCATGCCGTTTTCTGAAAATACCATTAAAAAAAAGAAAAAAGCAATGCGGAGAGACACTCAACAGACCCAACTGCTCCTGCTCTGGGCGGGCCTGGGCGTCGCCGCCGCCGGGCCGTCGACCTGGACTGGGGCACCCAATCCCGGGACACCTGCTGCTTGCTGGAGGCTCGCGGTCGCCGGGCCTGGCCGAGCTCATGAGCCTGGTCAAGGGCACGACATTCCTGGACTGCGGCGTCTCTTGCAGCGGGAACCCCGGGAGCTCGCAGCAACCCCGGGAACTTCAGGCTGCACCCAGGGGCGCGGACACCGAGCTGTCCCCGCCCCCACCACCCCCAAACGCAGGGAACGGCGGCGCGGTCCGGAGGCTCGCAGCCCGGGCCGGGCAGGCGGCTAGGGACGTCAGCGGCTGCGGAGCTCCCGGCTGGGGATCTGGCTTCACACCGTCCCCACACCCACGGCCGCACTCACCGAACCGCGGGGCGCAGCTCGGTCGGGGAAGCCGCTGTCAAGCCGTGACCCGGAAGCAGAAGCGGCCAGCGGCCGGCAGCCCTGGAGTTGCGCAAGACGACCGAATTGCGTAGGCGCCTGCACGCTTGCGCAGACTCTCGAAGCTGAAGGAGCTTGGATATTTTTTCCCCCAAGGAGTCGGTTGCTTTTCTCCCGTGGTTGCTACATAAAAGCAACGGGCTTGGGCGTAATCTAGCTCACTCCCAGCCTCGGGCCTCGTGTCCTGGTCCAATGGTGGAGAAGAAATTCACAAATCCTGGCGTTCAAGCCTATCCTGTAAGGCTGCGTCCGTGTGGACCAGACAAATGTAGGGCCATCCCACTGTCAGCCTGTGTCTACATCCGAGAACGATCCTGGGCACCTCATCCCCATAGTTTTAGCACCATCCATTTCAAAGTGGAGCACAAGCTTCACATAACTGACCTAGTGAGGGCCTGGTGACTGCCTCTCTAATCGACCTGAATAAACCAGGTTATTTGAACCTTGGCGCTCACCACACGACAAAAACATTTCCATCTGTACCCAGCAGAGAGGGGCAGAGGATCGACAAGACAAGGTACTATAACCTGAAGAGTGGCTCTCTTTGGGCCCTGGCAGTTCTGGTTCGATGCCATGCACCAAGCAGCTCCGTGGAAGACTACAAGGCTAGGGTGTTGGTTCTGAGAATTAATTATTATTTCACCCAGTTTCTCTGAATATTAACTTTCTCCATGTTGGCTGTAATGATACAAATCCTTCTATTTCTAGGAATTTCATGTTTACGTAATTCCAAAGCAAAGGGTCTTGCTTCCAAAATGCTTACTCCGTTGCCCAAATTCGAACAGCTCTTTGACTATCATGATAAAACAAAATGGAACCCGTGAGCATTTCATTACAAAGTCGCAAAGTCTACAGTATCCGTTCCATTTTTACTTCTACCGGTACCTTCTTTATAAAGGAAGGTAAGGACAATGACGATTCTCATTTGTTATAAAATATTCAAACACACAGGAACAACTAGGAAGAATAGTAACCTGAAATCTTTATAACCATTTAGAAAACATTGATATTTTATCACATTTAAAATCTACTTTTGTTTTTCTTTTGTTATTTTTTTTCAAGATTTAAGTTGTTATTGATTTTATTTTCTTTTTTTTTCAAACAAACTACTCAAAAATGTCATTCCTGCTGCTTTGTAAGACTTTTTTTCCTGAGAAGATGGGATTATTTATCTTTATGGTATTCCCTTTCCCAGACTCATTCCCCAAATTTATTGACTGGTAAATACTAAAGACTATAAATTATGAGGAAAAAATAAGTATTTTATATAAATGAGTGATTGCATTTTGCCAGTAGTTGATAAAGTTATTTTGAAGTGTCTTGGAGACTTGGCATCACAACAAAGGTAAGTTTTAGATTTTCCTACTCACAGAACATTTACTGAGCTCTCACTTCTTATAGATTCATCTTTTCGGGGGCAGAGATGAAGTGTGGTTCCTTCTGATTAAGGATTGGAAGACAGAGAGCTTGCAGTTAAAGATCATCAAATCAACAAAGTCAGCATTGAGGAATTGTTCCGGCCACATCAACAGTCAATGTTGAAGCCTCGTTCTACCCCAAAATGAAACCAGGGAAGTATAGGAAGGAGAGAGGGTTTTATAGAGAAAATGTTGTGTTGTTGAGTCCCCTCTGCCCACTCACCCACCCAAATATTTCTTTCTTTCTTTCTCCTCAAGCATAAAATGAATTTCATTGGCACCGGCGAGCTAAAAAGGTGTTCCCTGTTGTTAGAAAGTCAAGAACCACATCAACATTTTCGCCTGTAAGTGAAAGAAGGCTGCACCCGCAGAGAATGGGTTTATCAATATGTCCTTGCACCAGATGTGGGCCACACAGAAGACAGACAACACAGAGTTGCCTGCCGCATAACGGGTGATCTAGAGGCATGGAGAACAAGCTGGCCTAAAGTCAGAGACAGACCAGAGGAATCCTAAAATCCGTAGTTTGTTGTAGGCCCCCACTTCCATGTCTCTAGACCAAATGCATTTACTTCAGAGGCCTCTAATGGTGGGAATCTCCAAAGAAGGCTTAAAGGCTTCCTTTAGGGGAAAAAAATCAGCTTCTACCATCTGTTAGATACAGTGCTGACCTTCTAAAGAGCAGTCCTAGACTCAGGACACATGCAGATAGAATAGCAGCAGGTTAATGGTGAAGGGAGCTTTGGTGGTGTGTGAGAAGGCTGAAGGTTAGCAGCAACCAGCCATGGACCCTACCTGGGGGGAAGGAGAAAACAGTCTTGGACTGACTATACCTTAGGAGAAGATCTGAGACTCTGACTACCATTTTGGACTGGAAACATTCTAATTACTAAGCAAACTAATCTAGATCATCTTTTTTCATTTCAAGGGACTGTTCTGTAAAAGACTATCAACTAACAAAGAATGAACCAAAAAATAAAGTTTCCATTCAGGAACCAAGGAAGATAACAACCTAACCCCTAGGCAAACCATTTGAAAAGATGGTAAGAGCTTAAAGTACAAAGTTGTGATTTGATCATATCCCATGACTCGTGCATTCCACGTCGGAACTTCATCCTAACTACTTACTGTATGTAGTTATTTCTGTCCTTTGTAGCTTGAATAGAAGTGATTCATGAGTTTTTGATTTGGGCTCTGTGTGTGTGTGTGTGTGTGTGTGTGTGTGTGTGTGTGTGTGTGTGTGTGCGTGCTGTGTTTTCCATAAGACCACAGGGCATTTTGCCCTCTTGTTCCTTCCAATTCTGTCCTCACGAAGGGCCCAGCAGGCGGTGTTAATTGGCAGACAGTCTAACTAGTGTTTCTATTTTCAGAGCTTCAAGTAAACTTGAGCTGGAAACTTGATAATGCTGTTATGGTTGTACCCGCTGCCGCTAGCAGTGATCAACACGGATTAGTATCCAGACCAAGTAGAGGCCGTGGGGATGAAACAGGTTACATATCTAATGTCCTGCCTTCTAAAACATGTGCATAATTACTTTTAGGAGTGAAACCGTCTTTCTTCTCTTATTGGCTCCAAATATTTTCCAGGTTTTCAGCAGATCCTTTGGAGTGACAGGAAGCTGGAGCAGAGGAATTCTGCATTGCTAGCGCCTAAGTGGTAACAGAAAGCCTTTCATGACAGCTTTCTGGGCTCTGGCCAAATTCATTAAATATGTTCCTGCCTCAGATCTCCTTCTTCAGAGTCACATGTCTCATGTTGATGGCATGTTCTTCCTAGAGCAAGGTCTTAAACATAAGGGACTTTCCCCAATACTCTTTTCAACCAAAAGAATGAAAGCCAAAGGGACATTTGAGATACTCTTAAACTTGAAGGAGAGAAGGGGTGGGTCAAAAATGATAGGATAGAGGAGAAAAAATAGGATCCACAATATAATCCACTATCTATCTAATTTGGGAAAAAAATAACTTTCTCCCACTGACACAAGATTATATTTTACCTTTCTCTGAACTTAGATAGTGTTTCTGAGCAAGGGGCATTCCATATCTCAGCCTTGGTTTACAGACCCATACAATGAGACCACAGAACACCTAACCCAAGGGTTCAGGTCACAAAACCTAGGCCATATTTGTGAAGAGAAGTTTTATATGCTCCATAAAGCATTAGAGACTTTTATCTATGCCATCTTGACATTAGTTTGCATTTGTTTAGAGAGATTGCCAAATGTTTTGTCTGTTTGGCCCCAATAAGGATGAGGCAGATTTCCTATGTTCATTCCTTCTGCACAGCAAAGTCCCAAGCACATAGCAGGCGTGCTGCTAGTTGTTATGTCAACTTAGTATAAGCTAGAGTCATCTGAGAGGAGGGGCCTCAACTGAGAACATGCCTCTATAAAATCAGGCTGTAGACATTTCCTAATTAGTGATTGAGGTGTGGTGCTGCCCTAGGCTAGTGGTTCTGGGCAATATAAACCCTCTTGCTGGGTGTTGGTGGCTCACACCTTCAATCCCAGCACTCGGGGGGCAGAGACAGGCAGATCTCTGTGAGTTTAAGGCCAGCCTGTTCTACAGAGTGAGTTCCAGGACAGCCTCCAAAGCAATACAGAGAAACTCTGTCTCGAAAAACAAAACAAACAAATACACACACACAAAAGAAAGCAAACCCCCAGCTGGGCATTGGTGGCTCATGCCTAGATCTCCGTGAGTTCGAGGTCAGCCTGGTCTACAGAGCAAGTTCCAGGACAGTCTCCAAAACAATACAGAGAAACCTTGTCTAAAAAAAAAAAAAGCAAACCCCCAAAATAGAACCTCCAGTGCTCGGAATGGGTTACATCTAATTGAGTTGTTGGTCAAAGTGGCTCCATGGAAAATGCCAAACAATCCAGGCTATAGCCAAGTCTGTTGGTTGCTTTCTAAAAACTGATGGCAACTCCATATTGCTGGAGACAATACCTATCTAACTCAATGAACACGGGAAGTCAAGCTGGTGCCTACCCAGAGCCTTCACCCCTGCTGACTAGTGTTCATGGTACTGGAAGGTATGCTGCATGCTACACCAAAGGAACTGGGTAAACACCAACTCAGCTACAAACTTTGATCTACAGTGGTGACCTGCCTGCAAGACACGCTGGTACAATAGTAGCACAAAAGCTGTGGGAGTGACCAACCACTGTCTGATTGGATTGAAGGCCCACTCCATGAGAGGGAACCTATGCCCTACACTGCCCAGACGGCCAAAAACCTGAGATGAGATACACCGTGGACCTAGGAAAAACCAAATACTATTGTTCTGCTGAAGATACATAGCAATAAAATGACTCCTGAAAGCATTCTGCCATGCATAGATCAGTGTCTCTCTCAGCCATTATCAGAGAGTCTTCCTCCTTTGGTAGATGGGAACAAATGCAGACACTCACACAACTGGACAGCGTGCAGAGGGTGAGAGACCTTGGAACACTCAGTCCTAATTGGGATGGCTCCATCAAATCCCTCCCCTCAGGGCTCAGGAAACTCTGTGAAAGAGAAGGCAGAAAGATTGTAAGAGCCAAGAGGACGGGAGGACACCATGATGCAGTTGAGTGATGTTACTACGGACTCACAGAGACTGGCACTATGCACGCATCCTATACAGCTCTAAGCCACAGGGGGTCCCAGTGTTGACAAGGGGAAGTAGACACAAGCCCCCATCCCTAACCCGGAATCTCTCTCCAACTGATAACCACTCTGTAACAGAGTCTCACTGGGTATACAAATAACACTTAAGGGCAGGCCCCAGGCCCAGCAGAAGATGGCTAACACAAAATAAACTCAATGGGCTGGGCGTTGGTGGCACACACCTTTAATCCCAGCACTTGGGAGGCAGAGGCAGGTGGATCTCTGTGAGTTTGAGACCAGCCTGGTCTACCGAGGGAGTTCAGGACAGCCTCCAAAACAGCACAGAGAAACCCTGTCTCGAAAAACAAAATAAATAAACTCAATGGTAGTTTTGGAGGTTTTGTCTTGTTTTTTCTTTTTTTGTCACATAATGATTTGTCTAGGCTTTTATGTTTTAAGCTTATGGATCTTTTTATTATATATTATGGTTTTCATCTTTTTTTTTTTTTCTTTTCAAGACAGGGTTTCTCTGTGTGGCTTTGTAGATCAGGCTGGCCTCAAATTCACAGAGATCGGCCTGCCTTTGCCTTCTGAGTGCTGGGATTAAAGGCTGCATCACCACTGCCTGGCACCATTTTGTTTTTATGAGTTTTCTCTGTGTGTGTGTGTGTGTGTGTGTGTGTGTGTGTGTGTGTGTGTGTGAGCACCTGTGTTTCTTATGCTGTTTCTTTTGCCACGTTTTTTCCCCCTGCTTTGTGCTATTCAGTTTTGATTGGTTTTCATCCTATTTTTGTTACTATTTATTATGTATCTCAGTTTGGATTCTCTCAGAAAGAGAAAAGGCTGTGGATTTGGGGATGGATCTAGGAGGAGTTGGGGGAAAACCATAATTAAAATATATGGTATGAAAACAATCTATTTTCAAGTAAAAAAATTCAACATGTGCTTACCATACAGCCACAAAAAACAAAAGCAGACTGAGGAAGCCATGAGGTACAGTAAGGCAGCAAACAACACTCCTCCATGGCCTCTGCATCAGCTCTTGCCTCCAGGCTCCCCTCACTGAACCATGACTCAGGATATGTAAGCCAACAAACCCTTTCATTCCCCAAGCTGCTTTTTGGCTGTGATGTTTCATCACTGCAATCATGACCACAACTAAGACAGTAGGGCTAGGTCAAAGGCCAGGCAATGTGAGCTACTGAAAAGTGACCTCTAAAGACAGGGAGGTCTTCTCGGACCTGAAAAGAAAGGGGCTCAGAGAAAAACTGACAAGGAGCTTTGGAACAATAAAGAGAAGGATGTTAAAAGGCACAGAAGTCAAGCTTAGGGCGAGTTATTCCACAGGCAGAGCAGCGTTTGTGTGTGGGACCAGAGCAGCTCCCAGGACACAAAGGTGTCTTTCAGAAACAGCCTGTTCAGAGGCTCCCCCACTTTTTGCTTTTAATTTTCTCCAGGGCTCAGGGGAATGAATGAATCATTGGGTTTTTAAGTGAAAATTGCCTTACATCTCTATTTTCATGTTTTTGTTTTCGTTTTTGTTTTTTGTCCTATAGAACTCCCATATTCTCCACTACCAGAAATAATTTTAAAATGTTCAGATCCTCATAGAGACAGAATGTTTGAGGGATTTTGAAAAAGAATTACAGCAAAACACAATTAATGTTAATGAAAATATTAAAATAAATTAAACAAGTTATTTTCCAAGAGCATAAGCAATGTAGTTTACCTGGCAAACAAACACTTAAATGGATGAATTTCTTGCAACAAATTTTTGTTGTTGTTGTTTGGTGTTTTGGTTTGGTTTTTTAATTGCTTTTCGGAGGGAAACAACAGAGTTTTGAAATGCCCACTTGCCTGGTACCACTGGATGGTCTAGATCAGTGATTCTCAACCTTCCTTGGGTCGTGGTGATCCTCAGTCTTAAAGCTGTTTTTGTTGCTACTTCATAACTGTATTTTTGCTACTGTTATGGATCGTAATGTAAATATCTGTGTTTTCTGATGGTCTTAGGCGAAGGGGTGGTGGCCCACAGGTTGAGAACCTCTGGCATGGCGTGTCTTAGTAAAGAAGCAACCAGATTGTCTGGAACCGGTTCTAGGGGCCTGAGAAGTAAATTAGGTTCCATCTCAGCTTTCTGTTCTGCGTGGTTCATGCCAGTTCCGGTAGGAATGAGTCTCCCCCTGGAGGACAAAGAGAGCATTTGTTCTTCCAGGCTGTTTCCCCAAAGTTCAGTACATGCCTTGACTCCTTAACTATTTGTTTTTTTTGATAGATTTATTCGGTTATCTTTCCATTCAGCGGGTACCTATTAAACACTATTACTTTGCTGTTGAATATGAGAGATGCTGAAGATACCACCAAGAACAATATAAACACGACCCCCCCCCCCCCATTCCAGGGAAATTACAGTTCCACATGAGAAATAAATATTACAAAAATCATTTGAAGGCCTAAAGAGTCACAATGGTGATGTGCCTCATAAAGCAAAGTGTGGTGAAATATTATGATTTATAAAAAAAGGTAAGCCACAAGCCATAGATCCTAGGCACACACCTTTAATCCCGGCAGCCGGAAGCTAGGAGGTGGTGATACACACCTTCAATCCTAGGACTCAGGGTTAAGAGATAGATGGATCTCTGTGAGTCCAAGGCCACCCAGATCTACACAAGATTGAATCAGCCTAAAAGAGAATTATAGCTCACACCTTTAATCCCAGGACTAGTGAGTGGTACAAAAGTCAGTATCAGGATTCAGTAGAGGCAGTCATTCTCCAGCCACAGCACATTCCGCCTGAGGTAGAAGTAAGAAGCTAATGACCAGCTGCATTGTTTTGTTTTGTTTTGGTTTTACGAGACAGGGTTTCTCTGTATTGTTTTAGAGGCTGTCGGTCCAGCCGGGCCTCGAACACACAGAGATCCGCCTGCCTCTGCCTCCCAAGTGCTGGGATTAAAGGCGTGCGCCACCACCGCCCGGCTCCCAGCTGCATTGTTTTTCTGATATTCAGCTTATTTCATGTAACATAGTGGCCTCTGGGTCTTTTATTATCTGTCTTACTGAAAAGCTGCAGTGAAATAAATGCACATACTAAAATCTTAGCCCCTAGGATGGTAGCATTAGAGATGAGAGGGCTGGAGAGTGATTGCTCATGAATGTGACTAATGTCCTTATAAAAGAGAAGTCAGAGAGAGCCTTCTTCTGTAAGATTAAAGTAAAAGAATGATGGTGTATCAAAAAGTGGCCCTTACAACACATGAGTCAGCATCTTGATCTTCAAATGTCCATGACTGTGATGAATAAATTATTTATAAATGACCCCAGCACGCTCTATTTTGTTATGCTGCATAGTAGAATAAGACAGAAAATTGAGGAGTGATAGGACTGTTCAACAAAGGACACTCTTCAGGGTGAGAGGTCAAGACAGTTTCCCAGTGCAGATCTGGAAGCTGGGTGGGAAAACCAGATTAAAGGTGAGAAGGTTCAAGGAGAGATGCAGAAGGAAATCAAACACCCAAGAGCACCAATACTTGGAGAGGCAAAGAGCATAGGAGGCTCGAAGAAGAGGAGGCCAGAATGGAAAGTAGACCACACAAACGGAGGCTAGGAACAACAGGGAGACCCCGGAACACATGGAGCCTTGGGCGACACATTGGAGCTTCTGAACTGTGAAAAATGGGAGCCCTGGACCAGGCTTTTTTTGCGCGGGGACGGCAACCAGCTCCCAAATCTTACTAGTTTTGAATGCTTGGCCTTAGCTTTGCCTTGCTTCTGGTTAGCTCTTTTTCTCTTTATCTACCTTTTGCCTCAGGGCTTTTTACCTATCTTCTTTCTGTATATCTTACTTTCACCGCTTCCTGTGCCTGGCTGACTGGCAGCTGCCTGCCTGGTCCCAGGGGTGTTCTCTTTCTTCTTCTCCTCCCCCCTCCTTTCTCTGTCTAGCTACTGACTGTTCTGCTTTTTATTAGACTAAGCAAGCAAGGTGAAACAGCAAGGCATCTTTTCATAATTAAACAAATGTAGCACAAACAAGTGTAACACATCCTTATGTCGTTAAACAAATGCAACATAAATATAACACACTCTTACACAGTTAAAGTAATATTCTGAAGCATAAACTAATGTAGCACACCTTTACACAGTTAAAGTAATATTCCTCAGCATAAACGAATGTAACACACTTTTATGCAGTTGAAGTAATATTCTGAAGCATAAACAAACGTGGCACATCTTTGCCCAGTTAAAATGATATTCCACAGCAGAGTCCACTACTAGGTTTTATGCAAGTAAATCACCATGCCTGCATTTTTAAAGGGTCACTCTAGATTCCTGAGAATCTTTATACAGGGGCTGGACAAGGATCAAAGAATTGAAAATAGTAGTCTAAGTGATCTAGGCAAAAATGATGGGAGCTGAAAGGCAGCTGCCACATAGGGGTGGGAAATTTTGATATATTTTAATGTCAGAATTAGTAGGGGTCAGTGGTGATTGTAAGCTTAAAGTGGATGATAGCCAAAAATGGCCCCTTCCCCGAACTCCCAGGACCTTGGGTGCTCATGCATGAATTAAGGAGCCACTTACAAAGCAATGGTGGGAAGAAGATGACCTGAGACAATTTTGATAGGTTGGGACAACCTGTTTCATGGTAGACTTATCACCTATTTACTGAGGCTCCTACTACATGTTGAGCACAATGCTTGGCACTAGACACTGATGGCTGGTAAGGGAAGGTGGTCTA